TTACGATCTATGAAAATTACTAACTGCATTCGAATTTGTCAGTCCATGAGCTTAATTTGTTGATCATCCAAGCAAAAGCTAAGGCAAATGAAAAATTCTTGTCTATTGAGTTTAAATTGAAACATGCTATATTCAGATGAGAATAGATATGTTTTTACCAAAAATATATTTTTGACAAGTTTTGCTTGTTTCAGTTTAATCAATGATCCAAATTCTAAAACAAATACTACAAAGTGTGTGAAATTGGTTTCACGGTAGTCTGGATCACACTCAAAAACTACTCCTGTACTACTTGCATGTACTTGAGTGTCACCATGAGCATCTTCCTTCTCTGCATATGTCCTCTTCTCAGTCCATGTTTCCTTTTCTATCTCATCTGGACCGCACCTAGATGACCATTTGCTGTTACGTCGTGCCTCGTGCCCAGCAATGCGATTACCAACATCAAGCCACCTATCAGAGGGAGGTGCTCTATTATCAAGCGTATCTCTACCCACATCAACACGGCGATCAGTTTTCCTGCGCTCTCTTCTACCAAGTAAGCCTGTTTCTCTTTCTTCTTCACCCCAGTCGCGACCACTTTCTGCTTCAATTCCAGTTTTCCTTCAATCTTTCTTGTCCTCAGATCCATCTGAACGCCAAGCCTCCTTCAAATTGGAATCAGAAGAACTTCCAAGAGAGAGGGAACTTGGTGCACGCATTTCCTACATTCATAGTAACAGAGAATATAAACTTTCTCATCCGTGTTCCAAAACACAGAAGTGATGAAAAAAAAAACTTATGGTGTTTGCTGCAATTTAACCATAATTAATATCAAGGGAGCTGCTAATGATAACATAAAAAAGTAAAAGAAAAATTGGGAGACAATTCTAGAGGAATTGAAGCCCCTTCCCCCTCTCTGGCCGTCTCCCACTAAAATATTCCAAAAGTAGAAGGAAGCTACCATTTTATTTCATTGTTTGCTATGGTGCATGTATCCGCCTCTGCTAGGAAGCCCATGAAAGCAATCCAAAATCATTTCACATGTCTAGCAAAATGTATTGCACCATCAGACATTACCATGCCTACTCAAAAGATATTTAATTCGAATTTGACAACTTCATTGATACCATATTCATAGACATCTAGAAATAAATTCTAAATTGGCTTAAATACTTACCATCGTAGGAACTGTTTACGAAATGTTTATTCAGATAAGTGCTTACCAAGTCACGTTACCTCACCGGATGAATATGGTAAGGACCAAAAATCTTACCCGTTAAAAATGAGATAAGGACCAAGAGTCTTACCCGGTAAGTGATGGCGACGACTCTTACCATAGTAAGCGCTTACCGGGTAAATTTTGTATACGATATCGTTTTGGTGGACTAAAACCTTAGCCGGTAAGTAAATACTAGAGTTAAATTTTACCAGTAAACACTTACCGGGTAAGTGTTTGATAAACGACACCTTACTCTCGCCTGGTTTAGCATCGAGCCGCTGGGGAGACAAGGGGATGCTGCTGTCCAAAGCTGCTTGATCTTTAGATGAAAAAAGCAAAGCGCAAAAATTGTGAAGGTAAAAACAAAGCAYTTGACKGAGAAGAGTAACATAAGAAAAAACATTTCCCAAACTATTCACTTATTGATTGTATCTTACAAAGCTACAAACCATGTATAAAAGCTACCTTTGGAATCATATCCAGTCATCTTCTTATTTTAACCATTCCCTCCAGAAGCTTCCATTGTCATGACACCATTACATGTTAAAGAAAATGAATACAGTAGTATTGCAATTTGGTAAACCAAAGTAATATATATATATATATATATATGTATATATATATATATATRTATATATATATATATCAGAAACTGTAAAACTTCATGGGCAATTAAAAGACAACTTGCATAGTTGAACATGGCTTACAATTATTGTAACACCAAATCCTCTCTATCATACTTAACAACAATCATGGTTGAAACAAAAACAAATAGATATCTTTCATATGTACTGCATTGAAGTTGTATCAATTTAAGAAACAAACAGGTTTTGCCTTGTTTCGTTCTTTAATCATCATAGTGATACAACATCGGACTATCAAACTCAAGCTCTTTTCCTGTCCAAAATACAGAAACTTATATTACAATCCTCCACATCAAATGGCAAAATCTCTCGAGTACYGAAATAAAAACAAAGAGATTGTGAAGCCACAAGATATAATTTCAGAAAAAAATGAGTTAAAAACGATCGACATGAAGTTAATGGTTTTGGAACATATACACCATCGCCTGCTCTAAGGTTTGGCACATCATTTTAAGATACTCACATAGCAACTGATACTAAAAACAAACCAACCAAATATAGAACCCATTTTCTGGATTAAACCAGAAGATTTTTTATCGTCATATAATGGCATCACATTCACATTCCAAAACAAAAGCTATTGTGATTTAATGGCATCACATTCCAAAACAGAGGCTATAATGATATAATAACTCTAAAAATAACTAAATGGGTGACAACTGACATCACGTTGAAACAACATCA